TAACGCAGTCTCATTATTACGCAGACGAATGTCAGTTTTTGCATAGAAAAACGCCTGAAAACGCTAGTGTGGACGGAGAGTGGTTTTAAACGAAAACGCTGTTTTCAAATGTATCCGGATTAATGATTAAATTTAGATTTGGGGGCGTTTATTTCTTTTCTAATCCGATCGAGAGGACATGTAAACACTCGATCAGATTGAAAAACGAAACCGAAAGTACTGCGCATGTGCGTTAATAGCGTATGAAGTGCTGAACGAGTCATTCACGTTGAATTAAGTGTCATATCAATGCTGATTGTCAATTTCATATTAGGGCTGGGTATTGAGACAAATTTCACGATACGATTCGATTTCGATTCAATTTCGATTATTTTGGATATCAGTTACAATAAATGGCCAATTTTCTCAAGGAAATCAAATCTCTGAACTAATGCTGTAAACTATGGGAGTCTAGTTGGGCTTCATTAGCCTAATATGAAGGTAATAATGAACTGTTTTGTAGCTATACAAACACTTAAATTACACTTTTATTTATTTTTATAATAAGAAGATTATATGAAATAAACATTTAAATGGTGGCTGTCATAAAAACTTGCCATATTTATTTAAATATTCATTAAATATTGAAGAGCATTAAGATTATAATGCATATGTAATATGGTGTATATATTTAACAAAATGCTCCTCTCTAGAGTTATTTTTTCTAGCTGACTAACGAGTTTATGTGGGTTTTCTGAGACGATACATGACATTGATTACAAGCTGTTTAACTGACGTCTTTCCACGGTTGAAACGCTGATTGAGCGAATCAATGTGACATGATCCGGATTTGGATAAGTTGTCCTCTATCTTTAACACACTTTCAGATGCTCATTCATGTTTATTTGGCGCTGTGACTGGTATTATTAAGCCGGAAGAGAGATCAGCGCTGCTGCTTCTCCAGAGCGATCTCACGCCACAGCGACAAAACGCTATTTATGTTTTTGAATTTCTAAAGAAAATGGACGTAATTTGAAAATTGAGACTTTGTTTCATATCAATAGTAACAAAGGACAAAGATTATTTTTGGATGCGCGCAGCCGCGATACAATGTCCCAAATGACTAATCGATTCTTGAGATTTAAGAATCGATATCGGTTCGTAAAAATGAGAATCGATTAATATCGAGAAATCGATATTTATTACCCAGCCCTAGTACATATGCTAATTTTTTCCAAATTATGACCATAAATAAAGATTAGGCTAAGTCTGCTGTTTAAAACCAATAAATAACCATAGTTATTACGGGAAACTCTATATTCGTCCAGTGTGCGCATGTCAAAACATACATTCCCATTTGAAGTTTGTGAAATATAAACGCGCACATCAACTCGATCACATGTTTAGCGTTCATGTAAACACTCTGTTCAGATTCATCATTGATTGAAACAAAAGTTGTGCATGTAAACGCAGCCGCGTTCAAACGTTTCATCGGTTCATGAAAGACTTTAGAGTGTGTTTGGGTTCACAGACGGAAATAAAACTGAGCCAAAATGAACTGAACTCTTTCATAAAGAACATAAATGTTCCCGAAGTTTAATGAGAGGACGATGGAGTCGCAAACAGAGGCCTTTTCTGCTTCTTCACAGTAGAAACACGGCCGTGAAGCGTCTTGGAGAGGACCGTGCAGGTTTACAACATTTCCATTCTCTCATGCTAAATATATTAATGTAATAATACAGTGTTTCCCACAGGATTGTGTGAGCGTATGTAGGGGGACGGATCACTTTAACAGAGAGCTGCATTAGAGTTGCACTGGATACGGTTTTATGCATTGCATAAAATTCAATGTTTTATTTCCAGAGAGAAAAAGGGTCAAACTTAACCCAATAGGACATGTGATTATATAAACTAATAATAAATTAATCAATTTACATGAAAATAAAAACTGAAAACGTTTGTTTTCCAAGTAAAGATCCTTATTGTTTTGTAGATGTTTACATAATTTATTTGGAAAAATCAATTTGCATGAGGAAAAACTGATTTTTTTTTTTAATTTAATTTATTAATTTAATCATACACACTAATCTGTTAAATTTTACATCTAAAATCTGCTACATTGTTTTAATTTCAATTAAATTTAAAGTTAAAATATTTTAAAAAATATCAACAATTAAATTAATGCTGTTTAACAAATTTAGATGTCAAATTTAACAGTGAATATGCATATGATTAATTAAGTGAATGATAAATTAAATAATGTAATTTTTAAAAACATTTTTTACAGAATTTTCAGTTAAAACTATATATTTTTTTTAAATTAACAATTAAATTAAAACTGTTTATTTAATTGATCATTCACTTAATCAATCATATCCTTATTCACTATTAATTAATTTCTTAGTTTAATTTTCAAAACATTTACTTTGGGAAATTTTCCAGTTAAAATGTTTAAAATACATTTTTTAATGCTGTTTATTTAATTTATGATTATTTTAATGAATCATATGCATATTCACTGACTGTTAAATTTGACATCTGATTTTTGTGAATTATCCATGTTTACAAAGAATAATTTAAATGTATTATTAATTATATGCACTAACAAGTTTAACACATTTAGATGTCAAATTTAACAATTTAATTTTTGATTTTAATTTTCCAGTTAAAATATGCAAACGTACTTAAAACAAGACAAAAATATCCACAAAGAATGATATTTTTTTGCAGTGCAGCAGTCAGTCCTGCTGAGCCAGCTCCCCGCTCGGGTCCGAGAGGAGAAACCGTAGCTAAAGCAAACACAGTCGCCACCCAGAGCTCCTCCCGTGACTCTCACACACACACACACACACACCACATCAATGCACACCACAAGAACGGGTGGAGATTAAATAGAGAAAAAGTAATCTGAAACGACCTGATTTTTACATGAAAACGCATTGCTAGGTGGTTTTTATACTGAACTTCACATGTGGAGCACAAGCGCTGGAAACACTCATGTCGAGCTTTAATGCTCAGTGTTAGACGCGTAGTTGACCTACTGTACACTGACGTTCAAAGCTTTTTTTTTTTTTGCTTGTTTTTAAAATAAAAATCTTCTTCTAAAAAAAGTCTCTTACAAAACTACGGAAGCCCTGAACCGCAACCTAAAAAAAAAAAAAAGTCAGTAAAAAAAAAAAAAAAAATCTGTAAAAAAAAAAAAAAAATCTGTAAAAAAAAAAATCTGTAAAAAAAAAAAAATCTAGCATTTCGAGATTAAAGTCGAAATGTTTCGAGATTAAAGTCGAAATGTTTCGAGATTAAAGTCGGAATGTTTCGAGATTAAAGTCGGAATGTTTCGAGATTAAAGTCGAAACATTGTGCATTCATAACAGTGCGCGTCCACTGGCTCAGAGCGCGCGCGTGTGTGTAAAGTCAAACTGCCATGGATAAACCCAAAATAGTAGCTTTTTACTTTTATCTGGGCTTTCAACAAAATTCTACACACGTCACACGTGCTACTGGCAGTGTTTCTGAGGTGTTTTCGTGCTCGTCTAGTCAACACTATCTGGGTCGAGAACACAACAGTAACTGTTCGGTCTCCCTCTTCACCGTAAATACGCTCTGGATACATTTTAAGTGCATCATTCTGTATCCAATCATTTGGCCGGATCCTGTGATTTCCTAAGATTTAATAACCACTTATGGTTGAGGAGAGATTCTCTGATATGATTGTAAAGCGCTTTGAGTGTAGGCATATATGAAAGCGCTATATAAATGCCCTATCCATTCATTCATTCATTCATAAAGCTGGATTTCTCCATCCAGTCTGAAAAGTGTTTTCCGTGTTGGTTTTCCTATAGGCTAAAGTCTATTCTGGCGCATTATATTTTATAACGATAAAGTAAGATAAGTAATTCAGATAAAAGTAAAAAGCTACTATTTTGGGTTTATCCATGGCAGTTCGACTTCACACACACACACGCGCGCTCTGAGCCAGTGGACGCGCACTGTTATGAATGCACAATGTTTCGACTTTAATCTCGACACATTTCGACTTTAATCTCGAAACATTTCGACTTTAATCTCGAAACAGTTCGACTTTAATCTCGAAACATTTCGACTTTAATCTCGAAACAGTTCGACTTTAATCTCGAAACAGTTCGACTTTAATCTCGAAATGCTAGATTTTTTTTTTTTTTTTTTACAGATTTTTTTTTTTTTTACAGATTTATTTTTTTTTTTTTTACTGACTTTTTTTTTTTTTTTTTTTAGGTTGCGGTTCAGGGCTTCCGTACAAAACACAGCAATATTGTGAAATATTATTACAATGTATAACATCTGATTTCTATGTGAATATATAATAAAGTGTAATTTATTTCCTGTGATCAAAGCATCATTACTCCAGTCTTCAGTGTCACATGATCCTTCACAAATCACTCTAATATGAGGATCTGATGTAGTAGAGTATTTTAATCAAATAAATGCAGTCTTGGTGAGCACAAGAGACTTCTTTTAAACTGCAGTGTAACTAGTGAGATTATCACAAGGTTTCCACTCTTTCCATCCTCACTCTTCAGGATAATCTCTTTAACAGTGTCGACTGGAGCGGGTTGGTAGTTTTGCGGACTCGTGATGAGCGTCTTTATGTGGGTCGATCTCTGTTGCCTCCCACATCAAATCTGGTCCTGATTTTGACTCAGTTGCCCAAAGTTTGCGTATGTGTGTGTGTGTGTGTGGGAGAACGGGGGGGTCGTCCAGCATAAAGGCCTCTTTATTCACGCCGGACAGGGAAAGGAAATCGGCTTCAGAAGGAAAAACACAGTCCCGCACATCTGGAGTTATTACAGGCCCACCGTCATGCCAAGAAACTCCGACATTCCTGCAGCGCTACAAAGACACGCAACTGTCACACACACACACACTCTCTTACACACTCACACATACTCACACTCACATACACATACACTCTCACACATGCGCATTTTCCACCCGAAACGATCCCGCTACACCCCCCCGACCCCCTACCCGAAAATGACACAACACATGCGGCAAATTAATGCACTTCACTTCCTGTTGACCTTTGACCATCAACTTCCTGCTGCCACCCCAAAGAAAGCAGGACAGAAACCCAGACGAGGCGGGACGAGGCACGAAGCCCCGCCTCCTCCTCCTCTCAGCTCCTCCACTCGCTCACTGGAGAAGTTAGTGACCAGTCGTGTGCCACGTCAAGCCTGCGCGTCCACGCATCGAGGCGCTTCACACACGCCGGCTGGATGAGGGAGTGTGTTCGGGGGCAAGCTACAGCCGACACGTTCAAAGTCTGAGAAATATTGGGAAAAGTGACACTCAGGAGGACCAGACCTGGAGGATGAGGTGCAGTATACTCTCTTAAACGTCCAGTTATGATGATGTGTCTTAGTTTAGACGTGATTAATATTTCCAGCTGGTCTGTTGTTAATTGTACAGCAGAACTTAGAAGATCATCAGATGTGATGAAGTTATTCCTGAGGTCAATGAGGAAGGACACAAGAGTGTGTGTTTGTGTGAGATTCATCAGTCAGATTACAAAATGAATCACTAAATAACCAGATATCTGTAGAAAGGAGATAGATAGATAGATAGATAGATAGATAGATAGATAGATAGATAGATAGATAGATAGATAGATAAAATGTATTAATCTAATCAAATTAATATATATATATATATATATATATTTATATATAGCCATATAATTTTATTTTAACAATCAAAATTAATCGCTAAATAACCAGAAACCTATCGATAGATGGATAAAAAAAAAATTTATGACCAGAAACATCAATCATATGCATCAAAAAAGTCAAGTTTTAAGTTAATTAGAGAGAAAACACAGAATTTGGTTAAAAAATAAAACATAAAGCTGAATTTGAGGGGGAAATGCATTTCAAAGGGCCCTAAACATGTAATGTACAATTTATTAAAAGTTTAACGGACAAGTTTCATGATTTCATTTAATTAGACATGCTTACTTAAATTTAATTTAACTATTGAAATAAAACTAAATAAATAAATAAACAGATTTTGGAACAAAATAAAACAGATATCCATAAGGCGGAAGAAGTCCGGCTCTAAATCCGTCAGAGTTTTAGGGAATTTCAGAGTGAAACCTGAAGCCACAGGGAACGCATCATCATTCTCCCCGGAAAACGGGAAGCATCCAATCAGAACGCGTCATCATCATCATGTGTGTCTGACCTCCATATTCTGCCTGTTTCAGACTCCATCATCATGATCAGCGAGACACGAGACGCCCGTCACGCCTGCCCAGTGTTCAGACTACCTGTTCAGGTAGTAGTGTTTGTACAGTAGTCTGCACATTGGTTAGGCTGGACGGGGAAGCTCAAGACGGATGAAGAATCATCATCGTCATCATCGTCGTGGTTCAGTAGAAATAATGATCTGTTCATGTCAATGATGTAATCAAGGAATAAAGTCTACGTGTGCAAAGTGTGAAGAGTGTGGTTTTATCACTGTCTGTGTTTCTCCAGACTCGGGCGAGTCGATAGCAAAGACGAAATGTCCAGAAACTCGTCTAAATAATATTCCTCAGAGGAACCTTTAGCAGAAACGACTGGGATTTCTTTTTCACTGCATCTGGTTAAATAAGATAATAATAATAACTCCTCATCTCCATCAAACATGATGTAATCAATGAATAAAGTTTACGTGTGTGAAGTGTCGTTCTATCGTAAAGGTACAGTGTGTGATTTTTAGAGCCCGACCGATAAAGGATTTTGAAGGCCGATACCGATACAAATATTTTTGGGGTTTTAAAATCCGATATATCGGCCGATATTTTATTTATTTATTTCTTTATTTTAAACTAGACATGATAGTCACAAATTTTGTCATGCTTATTTGAGTTAAGAGAACTGATGGGGACGTATGTCTCGTGCCCAACTCAACGAGTGTTGCCAACAGGGACGGTGTAGAGTGCCCTCTGGTGGACAAACTATACAACTCCAACACTCATGACATCGTTCAAGCGTGATTCGTCCATTTTTATTTTATTTTTGAAATATTCATTTATCGGCCATTATAACTGCCGATACCGATAGTTTGGAAAATGCCTAATATCGGCCGATAATATCGGTCTGGCTCTAGTGATTTTTAGCGGCATCTAGTGGTGAGGTTGTGAATTGCACCTAACAGAAGTGGCCGACAGGAAGTGATGCCGTCGTTTGAGACCGCAGAGAGTAGCCAGTTAAACAATGAGGTTTCTTTACAAAGACAAATTAAGAAATTAGGTTTACTTAATTATTCAGTAATGTGTTATTGCGAAAATAATTTGCACTTTATCAGCTTCTTTACACGCATAGTGACGAAACGCGTTTGTCCCTTTAGGGCCACCGTAGAAACATGTCTGCGCTTTTCAATGTAAACAAACATAACGGTTCATTAAGTAAGGTCTTTATACATCACTGAAATAATAGTTATGCATATAATATTGCATTTCTGTTGTAAATATCACACAACGTTCCTGCAACTGATTCCAGCTCTGTGTCTCAGATGTTTCTCCTACACCTCGAGACTCAAGAGAGTCAATAGAGCTATAAAATGAATTTAATTAGAAATATTTTGAGTGTCCCTGACTTTGGCAAACATTTTGGAGATCTGAAACTGGTGTACTGATAATACTCCTCGGAGGTTTAGGAGAAACATCTTCATCTGCATCTGGTTAAATAGCCGGAGATTAAACGAGTCTCGAACGAAGATCTTTCACACGCTTGCAAACATCCAGACAAATGAAAACCAGACGAGTGTGTTTCCACTTAAGACTTTTCCTGGATCACAGAGTTTCCTGATCCGATGCCTTTACTTCTGCTAAAACACACACACACTTTATCTCTCTCTCACACACACTAATGTTGTGTTTTCATGTTTTGTGGGGACTTTCTATAGACTTAATTATTTTTATACAAACTGCACAAACTGTATATTCACGCCACTTATACTAATCACACACACCCGACTCCTAAACCTACCCATCACACACACACACACAAACAAACCTGACCCCTAAACCTACCCATCACACACATTAAAATGAATTAATTAAAACGAAATCTTTAAAATGATCCCATGAAGGGTTCCGACCATCCGTCGCACACACAGACACACTATTAAAATGGCCTCCATCATGATTTAAAAGTAATCTGCTGTAGTTTGAGAACCAAATTCTATTCAGAAGTGAGTAAAATCTGACAATCAGCTTTAAATATCTATGATGTGTGTTTATATAGAAAGTAGGGATGAGTCGCGTTCATCGAATAGTCGAACTGCGTTCGACATTCGATCACGAAATTGCTTTTTCGAATATTGTTATATTTTCGCGCAATTCCAATGTGACATAATCGGTGTATTATCCTGACGGGGACACATGGTGTCTCTGTCTACACTCTTAGAAGAAATGGTTCTATTTAGAACCAGAAATGGTTCCATCCCCCGCTTCATATATGGAAGCTTTTACCATTTTTTTTGGTAAAAGGTTCTATTGGCCAAGTATGGAACCCCAGGGTTCTATATAGAACCCAGAGGAACCCTTTTTTATGAGTGTATAGAACCTTTTAGAGGTTCCAAATATGTAGCGCTGATAGAACCTTTTAAGGTTCTATATAGCAGTCATTCCCAAAGGCGGGGTCCCGACCCACAAGTGGGTCGCGGAAGATTTTGAATGGGTCCCCAATTCGAACACTATTTTTCAGTGTGCTATATATACTCTCTAGATCAGGGCTATTTAATTGGCGGCCCGCGGGCGAAGTGCCGAAGTGGCGAAGCCCGAGCCCACCCTAACCTCCCTCCTCCTATTTTCTAGTGGTGCGGCTAAATTTGGTTAGATATGCGCGTGGCCGCAGTGGCGCGTGCAGCTGGACGCCTATACGCACTTCGTGTGTACCATGAGCGCTCCGACTGACATAAGAGAAAAGTTTACAGTCCGCATATTTCAGCAGTTCTTATGCGTGTCCCGTATTTCTGTCGACTGAACCAGCGATATTAATGATTCGTTGGTTTGATTATTTCCTTTCCATGAATTGGCCAAACGCACGTCTGAAATGATTCGGATTCGTTCACCTGAAGCGTTTTCTCGGTCGGTAATAACAAATAGAGAACAAAACATCGCTGGTTTCAGTTGTTTCACTAGTTTACTTTGAACTAGGCAGCACGGGCCAGTGGATAACGAAACACAAAGCTTAAAGGAGTCGCGTTTACTCCCGCACACTATTATTAAACAGCGTTGCGACATCTAATGAGAAGCGTTTCAATCGGACACTCCTCTCTCTTACAAACCACAAATCACTCAAGGATTTTATTTAGTTTTAAATCGGATGAAACAGCCTTAACATTCCCAATAAATGTGGAATATTTATATTGAATACTATGTTATAGTCATTTATATTGCATTAGATTTATTAGGGGGGTAGAGGAATGTATAATTAATTGTGTGTATAGTTTTTTTTTACCTGTTTAGGCATTTTTTATACAGTGGTAGCCATGCATGGTTACAAAGTCTCACTGTCAGGATATTTTAATTTAAGCCTATAATAATTATTATAGTAAATTGTGTACACTGTAACTGAGAATATGAAAACAGTAAGATGCCTGTCAACTCTTCATTTCTCATTTCACCTCTGCATTTCACTGACCTTAAAAATGGTCATACATATTTTGTTAATGCATACATTCTCTTTGTGATATATGAATGGGCCTTATGTTTATTGGGTCACAAAGATTTATCGACTTTAAAATGTGGGTCCCCCGAAAAAAAGTTTGGGAAACACTGCTATATAGAACCTTTTCTTCTAAGAGTGTGTGCTAGTAACCATCTATAGTAACAAAGTAGGCTACATTTACTTTATGTAAGGCGACGTTCCTCTCGTTACTTTATTCTAATGCTAAACATGTTGATAAATGCGTACTTTATTCCAGGCGTGCTGTATGTTTTTCTGGGCTTGAGCGATGCTCAATGCTATCCCGTGGTAATGTGTGTGTTGCGCAGTGGCATCTTGATAGAAACTAATTTGTTTAAAAAGTAGGCTATTGCAGTAACAAGGCAGGTTCACATAAAATCATTATTATGACATATGACATTATTGTACGCATAAACGAGCATCTGGTTTGGTGATGCAAAAATGGACTGTCGTGCTTATTGTATGTTAAGTACCGGTATGTAAAAAAACGAAAATTTAAAAAAATAAAAAAAAAACGAAGAAAACATGTTACTTGTTTAATTAATAAACAGTTAGTTTGATGACAAATCACTAAAGATTAAATTGACCTTTGGCCTCTCTTTCTGTCATTGTGAGTGTGTTTTCCTTTTTTTCCTCTCGTTTTTATTTTAACGATAATCGACTTTTGCTCCTTGATTTTCAACAACGCATTTTTGGCACAAATTCACATCCCTGATCGAAAGCATGGCTGAGTGTGTGTGTGTGTGTGTGGAGGTTTGATTGACAGGCCATTGAGGCCATCGCAGGGTTTCTGGTTCATTTGCTTCCAGGTTTTTCTTCATGTCGTGTGTGTGTGTGTGTGTGTGATAATAGGAAGCAGATCCAGTATCACCAGTGCTGCCTGTTTCTCCAAGAACACCAGAAGAATACTAGACGTGTGTGTGTGTGTGTGTTTGAGGACACGTTTGTATAGAGATTCATCTGCACTGAGACGATTCAGGAAGTGATGTCACTAAGATGCTTGTTGATCATTTAGACAGAGAGTGATGTGGGTCTCGACCTAAGAAGAGAAGAAAGTGTGTGTGTGTGTGAGGACTGGTCGTGTTCAGGCACACTCATGGAAGTGTTTTCTGCTGCTCTCTGAGCTCATTAGTGTGTGTTGTTCTTCTGAGTCGGACTGTGTTAGTTTTGGGGCTCTGAATGCTGGGAAACTGACATCGCCAGCCCACGGTAAAATAAATACATGAGAGAGAGAGAGAGTGTGTGTCAAGGAGACTTTGTGTTCGCAGACAGATGAAAGTGGACTGCAGCACACACACACACACACACCCTCTCGCTGACTCTGCCCCACATGCTCTGAGTTAGACTGACCTAAACTAGCGAACCACACACACACACACACTGTCTCACTCTCTCTCTCATTGTTTTTACCCCAATGGTCTTTATTTATAGGCCAAGATACAGTAGAAGCAATAAGGAAGTACTTATTTTAATAAATGTCTTATTTGGACAGGTAAAAATGGCAATATCCTTGTCACGTAAAGGCTAATTAAATGACACGGGGTCAACTGATGTTTTATCAATTTTGGGATTGATAAAAACACGTATATGCTTGCTTATTATAAGCTAGTTGACAATCTTGAGATGTTTAAATGTAAATGGGGAATCAATCAATGTGTGTGTGAAGTAGACATTGATGGTAATCTGGAAGTTAAAGCTACAATACCTAAGATTTTATGCCTCTAGAGGGCGCTTCATTCAAAACAACAACAACGGCTTTGATGAT